TGCAAGCTCCTCCTGGGTTTGGGGACGTTACCCCCATTCTGCAAGAGCCGCTTCTCCACATCACAACACAGCCGCCTCCCATTGCTCATGCACTTTATTGAAAGTCCAGCTAAGGCTGACGCCTCCAGCGGGTGAGAGTCTTTGGCTGGGCACTGGGCACCCGCTGGTGAGGTGCTGCTGTGTGGCTGTTGCTCCCAAATCCGCCCAGTTCACAGGCAGTCCACTCTCTTCAAACCTGGACTCATAGCTGCCTTTGCCAGCCTCAGAGGAAACACCTTTGCCCCCCTGGGTCCAAAACGACGCCCCCATTCTGGCAGCAGTGGTCCCTCAGGTGACTCAGTTGCTGACCAGACGGAAGCAAAGTAAGTCTGAAGTGCTCCTGGGTCACAGCTGTGGCTTTCAAAGAGTGGCCTCTCCCCATTTCAGAAACGCCAAGCGAAGCTCACAGAGCCTCCCCAAAGGGCACCTGTAAGGGAAGACAAGGGCCAAAGGCTCCTTTAGGCCTGAGAAGCAGCTGCTGGGCTCTCCAAATATTTGAATGCAGCTGAATATAGCTCAGAGCTTCTGCCTTGAGCACTGCAAAACCTCATTGCATTCAGGTCCAGAGCGAGAAAACCTGCCACCCCCCAATCCTGGTGAGGTCATGTTGGTTATAGGGACCAAGTATGAGCTTTGTGGCTTCAGCATCTGCTCACAGCCAAGGCTGATGGATCTAACAAAACTGCCCCCCCCCCGCCTGACAAAGCCACTAGCACCTTTCTCCAAAAGGCAGGCACAGCTGGTGGAGGGGGCACCTTCTGCCTGCCAGCTATGGAATAAAACGATTTCCCAAACTGACCCCCAGATGCTCAGCTTAAAAGCACAACAATTTCCCCCCAAGAGCTTTTCACCAAGTTGTAAACCAGGGGTCAGCAAACCTTTCCAGCAGGGGGCCGGTCCACTGTCCCTCAGATCTTGTGGGGGGCCAGACTATATTTTTTTTTGGGGGGGGGGCGGGAATGAACGAATTCCTATGCCCCACAAATAGCCCAGAGATGCATTTTAAATAAAAGCACACATTCATGTAAAAATACGCTGATTCCCAGACCGTCCGTGGACAGGATTTAGAAGGCAATTGGGCCGCATCCGGCCCCCGGGCCTTAGGTTGCCTACCCATGTTGTATACGGTCACTTCTGATACTGCCTTAAGCACATTACTGAACCTAGTTCAGTTCAGCAGTGCTGGTTTCCTTCTCAGCAAAGGGAATCTGTTCCTTGCCTGTCCAGGACATTCAATGGAACCAAAGAGGGAAGACTCTCCCCCCCCAGCTTTCTCCTGCCCCCCAGCAGAGCTGCTGAGAGGCAGCCAAGCACGAGACGTGGGGCAGCAGTGGGGAACAGAAGACCCAGCAAAGAGGTCAGGGGTATTTTGGGACTTGCCTGGCAGCTCATTTCCGGAGCTTTTTCACGAAGCTGACTTCATCTCGGTTTCGGATGCCGTACCTAAAAATAGCGTCGCTCACGTTACACGTCTGCCAAAACACACACATTGCCGTCGTGACAGACCCACCCACCCTTCTCCCCAAGGGCCGAGGAACATCAGGGGAGCAGCTGGACCAGGCCACCGTCCCGTCTAGTCCAGCATACTGTTCCCCACAGGAGCTCAGCACACCCACCCCCCTTCCCACTGCTCATCCCAGGGACCACAGCCTTTGTCCACAGGGCCACTAGTCTTTATTTATTTAAATTTCAAAATAAAAAAAAATTACAAACATCAAATTCAAAATCCATATTCATTTTCTAAAATAAGCCTATTACATAGATTACCTAAATTAAAATATATCTAATTGCTCTAAATGATATTATAGGTTTCCATATACCCTCCACTCCCCTTCACCCAAGTGTAATCTCAATATTTTACTTCTTCCATCTTGTGTTGTTATAATTTAATAATTACTCAATTGATTCTATTATTATTTTCTTGCTTACCCCTGCACGTTTTACACATTCTCTATTAACATTTCAATTCCGCAACCTTATTTTTTCATGTATTGCTTCACTCCATCCCACTCTCTAATTATTCTCTGATTTGAGTGGCCTCTAATAATTGCCGTCAATTTTGCTATTTCTACAAACTCACAGAGTTTGTTTTGCCATTCTAACAGTGATGGGATTTTCTCCCCCTTCCACTAGTCTTATCTGCCAAGAACTGGCCCCCTCTCCTCTTGAAGACACCCCAGTGAGTGGCCAGCCCTGCGCCGTGTGATGCTGAATTCAACAGCTGAGTTCTGCACTGAATATTGCTGCAACCCCAGCCTGCTCCTTTTCTCCACCCTGAGCCTGTCCAGAGTCACAGCTTTTCAAACGCAATGGTTTATTTCTGGAGGAGAGAACAGTAGCCACACCCCCTTTTTTGGCTTCCCCAAGTCCCAGGGCAGCTGGTTTCCTGCCCTCGTCTGACTGCTGGGGCTCCTCTCCTTCCCCCGCACAAATCTGTAATGAACTCCAGCTGTGTTCCCCCCACCTTCCCTGGGACTCAGCCCCAAAAAGAAGCAAGTTGGGTGAGCCCCACCAAGGCCGGCCGGAGCCTCCCGTGACTCACTCTCTCAGCTTCTTCCTGTCATCTGTCAGCTTCTCTGCACCAAACGTTAAGCAGTATGTTCGCCACACGTACTTCCTGCAAGGGGAGGTTTGCTTATTTATAAAAATACTTCCTATGCCGCTTTCTCATAGTAATACAGCACAGTGGCTCACAGCAATATAAAACCACGCAGTAAAATTGTTAGGGGAAAAATCTAGGTGTGAGGCTGCTCAGTCCCCCAGCTGGTCGGGCAGAGCCTGCGGAATAAAGGAAGGAGTCCAGCCACCAACCGGAGCCAATAGCTGTAGACCAAAGTTTATTGCGCAACAGGTTCAAAGAGGAATTTTGAACCCCGAGGATGGGGTGACAAGGACTTTTAAAACCATATCCCAGAATACAGTGCATACAGCATCATTGCTACATCAGAAAAGGGGAGGGTCATACATGATGAACATAGGAGGAATGTGTTGGGGCAACAGGCGGATACAGGATATGTATTGGGAAGTACATTCTAAGCACCTACTACAAAGGGACAATAGAACTTGGGTTTGCATAGTCTGCCACCTGGGCAAGTCCGGAGGAGAGCTTTTGCCCAGCGATTGACAGCTATGAGTACAGCTATGAGTACGTCCATAGCAGGGGCCAAGTGGCTTCCAAGTCCTTGGCCAATGAAGCAAATTGGCGGTGGAATGAAGGAAACTGGCAAAGGAGTTGATTTTATATGATTTTTAAAGCTAGGCAACTTCCCTGAGCCGTCAATTCGAAAGGATACCTTTATGCATACTATTTGTAACATTTAACAACTTTAAAGATGTGCCCCCCCCCCGTAATTTCCGTAACAGAAATCATTTAACTTTTTAATGATTTTACTGTATGGTTTTATATTGCTGCACACTGTGGTGATTTACTTTTGTGATCCGGCAGTATATAAATATATTTAACAAGCAAGTTAAAAGGAAAAGAATTAAAAACAGGCGCCAGCAGACCATTGTGGTGGGATGTACTTGTAGCCGCCTGCAGAGGCCTGGCGGAACAAAGCTTTTCGGCAGTCGTTTAAAAGTTGGCACAGAAGGTGCCTGTTAGCAATGTGAGGGCGGAGGGCCAGCAGGTGGGAGCAGCCGATCCGAGGAGACTAAAGGCTAGCCCACCCACCTGGGAGGGTCACACAGGAGGACCCCCCACCCGTCCTGGGCAGGGGGAAGGGCTCAACTCACCAGCTGATGTGCTGGATGCCCCCTGCCCGCTCCTGCTTCAGCTGCACAAACCGCTGGATGGCTTTCTTCAGGTCCAGGACGCTGGCATTCTGCACCACCACCACGGCTGCGGAGAAGAAAGCGTCGTCATCACCCCCAGGCTGCATCTTGCGCATCCCGCCAGGACCCAGGAGGTGCTCAGGACACTCTCTCTTCTAATCCCCCCCCCACTGGGAATACCTTCAGCATAAGCCGAGGGAGGGGCTTTGCAGGGCAAGAAAAGAGGCCTTGGGCAGCGAAGGGGGGGGGTGTCTCTCTGTGGGCTCTGTGCGGGGAAAAGGGCTGGAAGGGCAACCAGGGCCTTGCTTGCTTGCATTATTGTATTTTAATATTTTGCTGGAAGCCTCCCAGAGTGGCTGGGGAAACCCAGCCAGATGGGTGGGGTGGTAATAATAATAATAATAATAATATTAATGATAATGATAATATATTATTATTTATACCCCGCCCATCTGACTGGGTCTCCCCAGACACTCTGGGCGGCTTCCAACCAAATATCAAAAACAATACGGCGTCAGACATCAAAAACTTCCCTAAACTGGGCCCTAAACAGGTATAGATAGATAAATAAATAAATAAATAAATAAATAAATAATAAATTTATTTATAAAGAAATAATAATAATAATAATTGCTCCCTGCACCTCCAGCGCATAAAGCCACGGAGGGAGGAGGCTGGGGGGCGTTTGCTCCTTCTGCTCAGTCTAGAGTCGGAAGGGCCCTCGGGGGTCATCCAGCCCACCCCCCGCGAGGCCGGAATGTGGGCGGGGCCAGGTCCGAGGGGGCGGGGCGACGCCGACTCACGCATGGGGGCCTCGGGGGCGTCGGCTCTGCGCACGCGCACCGTCATGGCCTGGCCGTACTCGAGCGCCACCTGCGAGCCGATCTCCTCGGGGGTCACCTGACAAGGGAGAGGAGGGCGGAGTCAGCGCCGGGGATCGACAGGCGAGGCCGGCCCCGCCCCCTCCGGTCGGCCTACCTGCGCGGGGAGGTCGCAGAGCAGCGGGTCCCTCACGAGGCGCGCCAGGCCGGCCTGCCACAGCTGCAGCACCTCGGCGTGGGCCGCGTCCACGGCGCCCTCCTCGCCCGCCTCCTCCTCCTTCGCCGCCTCAGGCGCCGCCATCTTGGGGAGGGGCGTGGCCTCCGGGGGCCGACCGGAAGCGGAAGTGCCTGGGCGTGGCTTCTCGGCGAGGGAGGCGCGGGCGCCATGCTGCTCTTCTGCCCGGCCTGCGGGAACGTCCTGGTGGCCGAGGAGGGCGCGCGCTGCCACCGCTTCGCCTGCACCACGTGCCCCTACGTGCGCAACGTCACGCGCAAGGTAGGGAGGGGGAGGGGGTTCCCCCGAGGGAGGGAGGTTCTCCCCGCTCACGACCCCCCCCCTTCCTCTCTTTTGCTAACGGAGAAATCTGAGGGCTCCCTTGGACAAAAAACAAGGACGCCAGCCAGGAATAGTAGAGCAAAACAGCAGCCAGTAGGCTTGGTCTTTATTGAAGACTGTGGCAACAGGACTCCCACCTGCCACCAGGTGGAACGAGATGGAAGCCCCAACAAAAGAGAACCCAAAATTTCATTAGCTGCTAATCCCCATGTTACACCCCCCCAAAAGACATCACGGTTACATCATGAAAGGGGAGGTCTGGTGGCAGGAATCTGAGCATCCTGGACCCTGCCCATGGTTCCCCTTGGTGGAACAAAAGAGATCTTTACATTTCCCTGTTTCCCAGCCAAGTTCATCCCACCCTTTTGTCTTCATCTGGGTTTATTATTTCTGGAATGGCTACCTGTCTGGCACTCAGGTATCAGGATGCCAGGGATTATCACTCAGGCAGAGGGGCTGCTGCGTAGCTGAGCTCACATGTCTATATGAATTTCTGAAGTTTTCCCAGTGAGCCAGTACACTGGAAGGACAGATCCTGAAGCTAAGACTCCAATACTTTGGCCACCTCATGAGAAGAGAAGACTCCCTGGAAAAGACCCTGATGTTGGGAAAGATGGGGGGCACAAGGAGAAGGGGATGACAGAGGACGAGATGGTGGGACAGTGTTCTCGAAGCTACCAGCATGAGTTTGACCAAACTGCGGGAGGCAGTGGAAGACAGAAGTGCCTGGCGTGCTCTGGTCCAGGGGGTCACAAAGAGGCGGACATGACTAAACAACAACAAGCAGAGGCGCAGAGGCCCGTTGAATAGATAGGAAGAAACTGTGATGAAGTGTTTTGTGGGGACAAATCACAAGTCACAAAAGTGATTGTGCTGATTTTGGTAGTGGGCTGCATGTGCATGATATCTGCTGGAGGGGCAACCCCCCCCCAACCTATACATAAATTCCTGCAACACTTTCAGGTGACGAGCCGGCGCTACCCGAAACTCAAGGAGGTGGACGATGTGCTCGGAGGGGCCGCCGCCTGGGAGAACGTGGACTCCACTGCAGGTGCCAAGGGGTGGGGGTGGGAAAGGGGGCCGTGGCCTCCCAGAGGAGTGTCGGGAGGGACCCCCAGGGGTCATCCAGCCAATCCCCTCGCAGGCATCAAGCTCTTATCCCGGGTTTACCCCGCTCTCCCCCTGCCCCACCTGCAGATGCTGCCAGTCGGGACAGAACCTTGGAGCCCCCTTTGGAAGGTGGAACCCATAATAATAATTATTATTTCTACCCCACCCAACTGGCTGGGTTTCCCCAGCCACTCTGAGCAGCTCCCAAAAGAATATTAAAAACATGATAAAACATCAAACATTGAAAACTTCCCTGTACAGGGCTGCCTTCAGATGTTTTCTAAAAGTCTGATAGTTGTTTATTTCCTTGACATCTGATGTTAGGGCATTCCACCACCGAGAAGGCCCTCTGCCTGGTTCCCTGTAGCTTTGCTTCTCGCGCTGAGAAGGTTCTGACCCCCGTGACTCTGATTTAAGAGGGAGCTCAGGAAACTGCCTTCCGCAGAGTCAGACCCACCTGGCTCAGTGTGGTCAGCACTGGCTGGCAGCCACAGATCCGCAGGGTTCCAGGCAGGGGATCTTTCTCCCAGGCCCTCGGGGAGATGCAATACAAGTGCCCCACTTGTCAGGTTGAGGGTCCTTATCATCTCCGGCCTTGGCCAGCCTGGGGGCTTGAGGCTGCAGGAGCCGCCCTCTGGCCCGGAGGGGGAGATACTCCACCACCCACCAGGTCCTGACACCCTCTTCTTTGTCTCTCCACACCCGCCCCCCCCCAGAGCCGTGCCCCAAGTGTGAGCACCCACGGGCCTACTTCATGCAGCTGCAGACGCGCTCGGCCGACGAGCCCATGACCACCTTCTACAAGTGCTGCAGCGCCCAGTGCGGACACCGCTGGAGGGACTGAGGCCACAGTGGAGCTGACTGGGCAACTGGGGTGCGGGTGTCTGCTACTTTGTACATAATAAACAGTATATATGAGAAAGAGCTGCAAACATGTTCTCTCATTCTCTATGCGCAAGAAGGGCAGGGAGGGTTGCGTCCTACACATTTCAGAGCCAAAATGCACGCCTGCTCAAAGGGACAAGAGGAATGGTTGGAGAGCTTGGTGTTTAGGGGAGCATCCTAATTTTTTGCAGTCATTTCTGCTATGTTTTAAAAAGCTGGCTTGACCTGAGGTTCCACAGATGAAAGTAGCTTCTCCCACCCCCACCTGAGAGGAGCCACTGCCTTGCCCACAGTGGCAGCCATTCAGGTGTTTCACCTGCTTACCCTGTGCTGCCACAGCGCCAGTCTCTGCCACCGTCATCAGTATCCTCCCAGTTGTGTGTTATAGGGTCAAGCAAGAAGCTGAGAGTCAGGAGGAGGTACAGAAACAATCTCTTTATTAACAAAAGCACGCAACGACATTCACTGTCCTACTGTACAAAAGAGGCCTCATCACAAGGGAGCCATCTGCACCCACTTGTTCCAGTTCAGTTCATAGGGAAAGACCCTGCCCATTTTCAGGGTGCAGTCAACAGTGGGCTCATAGAAGACGGCTGGCGTGCTGCTCAGTTTGGGGCTGCCAACCACCTCCTCAAGGGTCGGCTTCGAGAAGAGCGAGGCTGGTCTCTGCTGCTTCAAGTGGAATTTCCTGATGCAGCCAAGAGATTCAAGGCCCTGTAAAGCGAAGGGGGAAATTTAACACACACACACACACACACAGTTACTGAACGCTAACCTTTTTAAAAGTGTTGGGCGTAGGCTGTAATGAAAGCAGTGGTTTCATTGCGTGGGGCAAGTTGGACCCTCCAGATGTTGCTGGAATCCCAATTGGCCATGCTGGCTGAAGCTATTGAGAGATGCACAACAGCATCTGGGGAACCGCCGTTCCCTCCACCACTGGCCATTTAGCATTTTCAACATGTAAGAAAATAGCAGCTGCTGATGGGCACATGTTAAGGTGGAGTGTGCCTCCTAAATGCCGTCCCTATGCAGAAAGAGAACTGTGGGCCTTTCCAGAGGTGGCTCCTTCCTTGCCCTGTGCCACCACAGCCAGGCTCTGCTCCCTAACAATGGTAGGAGTTTGGGTGGGCAGGTCCTGCTCTGCATCCATCAAGGGTGCAGAAAACCAAAGCTATTGTGCAGCTCCATCTCCAGATCTCCTGAATAGGAGTTGCCAGAAAATGCCTAAGTGCTTTACTCTGGCCTTGTAAGTAGGGTGGGAAACAAATGTGGCTAAATATATAAACTTCTATTTTAAGACAGAGGCTGGGACTAGCTGACCTCCTGCCTCTGCCCTGGGCCTGCGCAGATATGGCCATTCCCTTCTTTGCCACCAAGTCACGGTTCTTGCATGCTGAGCCCTGGGAAGGGACACATGCAGCAACATGCAGGTAAGCTGGAAACACCTGGGCAGAGGGGATCCACCTTGACCCCAGGAAACCAAACATACCTGCAGAATCTCCAGAAGAGCCACCGGCTGCAGGACGCCCAAATAGTGGTGGCACAGAGCTGCTTCCGTTATGCCAGGTTTGGTCATGATGTGGCAGAGAACCCCCTCCATGATGCCCTTGCAGACTGGCTTGTTCAGGCTGCCGTCCACGATGCGCCACGGACGGCCGACAAAGCTGATGCTCCCACCAGCGCTGTTTTGAGAGCAGAGGTGCAAGGAGAGAGAGTGAGAGGAGCGGAACCACTGCTGGCATTGGCAAAGGGGACAGCCTTTCCCCCCATGAAGCAACCTGGCTCCTGCAACCATCATCTTATTTGTGTGCCTCTTGTGTGGGAAATTCGAAAGGCAGTAACATGAGAATGGGCCTTCTTTGGGGTGTCTTCCTACTTGACTGGCACATTCCTGATCTTTAGGCACCAGTCCAAAACTTCCCTCTATAATCAGGCCTTTGATTATCTTTGGCCTTTTAGAAGTGGGTGGGATGGTTCTAATTTATTTCTCTTCTTGGTTCTAATTATATGGGCTTTTGTTTTGTTATTTGGCTGGCTGGTTGTAAGTTGCTTTGGGCAAGGTAAAACGACTAACAAATTTAACAAATAATAATGCACTTGTATGCACAGGCAAAGGCCAGGCCCCCGCTTTAGGCTGCAGCACAGTGAGCAAGCAGATCCCAGCAGCTTTTGGTGGTCTGTCCCAGCCAGGCCTACTCATGTCTCAACTTAAGAGCCAGAGGCATTTTTAAGACTGGTGCCAACCTCCTGGAGAACAACCCCCAGGGGGCAGGTTGGGTCTCCAAAGCACAATACAGCTGACTAGAGGTCCCAGAAGTACTGGAATCAGCAGGAAGTCCCTCTCTGAAAACCCCTCAAATCCACCGGCACAAGTGCTGCACTGGCCACAAACGGAGCCTCGTTCCCTTTTGAGATCCTGCCACAACAGTAGGAACATCTCAAGGGGTTTGGTGGGGAAAACCTCTGAATACCTGTTGTTTGCTTCTGAATACCAGTTTCCGCTTCTTGCTGGAAACGGCCGGGGGGGGGGGTAGTGCCCTTGTGCTCGAATCCTGCTTGCAGGTTTTCACAGGATCACAGAGCTGTAGACTTGGGAGGGAATACGCAGCTGTCCCATACAGGGACGGAGGCTGCAACCTTGGTGGGGTCAGCATCAGGCTCTGATATTCCATTACAATATCTGGTGAGAAGAGGATGCTGCAGAAGGGCCACTGGCCAGATCCAGCAAGATTTTCTTAAGCTAACCAATGGGGGAGTTGGGAGTCCCTAAAACCTTTTGAGGTGGGTGCACGTCCTGGGAATCAAGTGAATGAGGTTGCTAATGTCCCGAACTGCCCCCGACAACAAAGTGGGTGTGTTGAAGCAACACCGAAGCTGCTCTAATCTAAGTTATGTTGTGACTCTTTGGACGCAGCTCTTCTCCGGCAAAGGGAATTCTCTCGTTTCATCTGCTCTGCACACTCACCTTTCGTATTCTGCCTGCCATACTTTCCCCGCAGAACATCCTAGGGAAAAGAGCAGAAAGCACAACTGGCATCAGGAGCACCACAATAGGGGTCCATCCTACCTCCTCAAATTGCTGGGCTGCGTGACAACTGCATGGATAGTTTGGATGAGCAGCACAACCAGGAACAGGAAGCCCCCATGCAGGTGGAAGGGGCTTGGGGAACAAAAAGCAGCCACCCTTGGCTCTTTATGCTGGCCCATGTAGAACCAGCATGAATAGTTAGCCCCAGGGAATATTTGACGTTTTCTCCCCTTAAGGCTTTGATCTATAGGCTACCACTGAAACAAGGCTGTATTTTAAACTGTATTCTAACCTATATTTTAATCAACTGTTGTTTTTTAAAGATGTTTTTACTGTATTTTATATTTGGTGTTAGCCGCCCTGGGGAGAGCTTGGCTGGGGAGAGCAGGGTATAAATAAAATATTATTCTTATTATCGTAGAGAGAGCAACAGAGAGAGAGAAAATACTGACAAGGTAACAAGAAGATGGCAGGCCCTGTGGACTGGCTGGTGGTCTTGCCCCTCCATGGCTCTGAGGGAGCCCCATGACGTCAGGCACGCCAAAGGCACTGCATGGATGGGAACAGCCCTGCCTTGCAGGCCTTTCCCCACCTGGTCTGGGAAGGGGAGGCCCTGACTGACGGACTACAAAAGCTGTGGGGTTTTGGGGGGTGGGGAGATGTCCTGTTGGCGTTGGTTGCTGTTAAGTCTTTGTACCTTTATTTTGGATCTTATGGATCACGTGGAAATTGTACAATTCGGTTGTGTACTTTTTAATGTTCAATGTATTTTTATGACTACTTTTCTAAAGTTTGCAATTATTCAATTATTTAAATGCTGCAAGCCCTTCCTTCCTTCCCCCTCCCCTTTTTATGAAGATTGCCCACTCTGAGACCCCACAGCTAATTCTCCCCTGGTCTCCTCGTTGGCCCAAATCGGACTAATTTAGCCAGCTAGCCCTGGTGATAATCTAATGTTTATTGGATGGATTTCCTCCCTAAATTGATTTTTGAATTCTGAATTTATTGTTATTCACGTTTTATACTGTATTTTATGCTGTTTTTCGTTGCATCAATTAAGTGTTTTAAATTTGTTGTTAGCCGCCCTGAGCCCGGTTTTCTGAACCGGGAAGGGCCGGATATAAATAAAACTGTATTATTTATTATTATTAGAGCCTGGTTAAAACTGTGGAAAGGTGGAACGAGTGATTGATACAAATAAAATGGCTGATGGATTGCCTCTGCACAAAGGGCCCCCCTATTACTCCAACCCCAGTTGCTGGAGGGATGGGGGGGGTTTGTGCTCAGGTCCGGCTTGGGGGCTTCACCGTGAGTTGCCTGGCTGGCCGCTAGGAGAAGAGGATGTGGGCCTGGATGGGGCTCCCTTTGGCCTGTTCCTGCTGCAGGCTCCCACCAACCCATTCCTGATGTTTCTCCTGCCTGCCAAGTCTGGAGAAGGAGCTCAGTGGGGCTCCTCACACCTACCGCTGGAGTCGCCAGGGGCTGCTTCCGGCTGCGAGGCGGGATCCTTGCGTGGCTCCCTGGTGTGACCACCACAGTCTTCGGCTTCCTGGCTGCTCAGGCCAGAGGCCTCTTTCCCACTGCCCTTCCCCACAGCGTCCATCCTGCAGCCTCGTATGGAGCCTGGCTCTAGTGCGGCAGTCCCTTCTTGCATCTCTGGAGTCCTTGCGCCACCAGGGCTGGCATTCAGGGCCGCAGGGCTGCTGGCTCCTTCTCCCGGCATGCTCTGGGTGCCTTGGGCAGCAGCTTCTCCATCCAGACTCTCCTCCTCCGTCTTCTGCCTTTTCCTCGCTGGTTCTTCCTCTGACAGAGCAGGAGAAGCCCTGCTGAGCTCCGTCTCCCCTGACTCAGCCGGGTCCTTCGGGAGAGCAGAGTCTTTGCCTTGCAGGACTTCGGGGCCATCCTCCTTGAGGCGTACAGAGTGCAGCAGCCAGGGGCTGGCGAATCTCCTTGCCACCAGCCGGGTGGTGTGGCCGCCGACTTCTAACACATGCTCCAGGTCAATGAGGTCCTAAGGGGGAGAAGGAAAACCAGGACCACCCTCAAAGAGAATCAGAGCAAAAGCCTACAGAACTAGATCTCTTAAGGTCCATGAATAACCATAGTTTAGAGGTCCCGGGCCCTAAGGAAGTCAAGACTATCCTCCACCAGGGCCAGGGCCTTCTCAGTGATGGCTCCGACCTGGTGGAATGCTCTGTCCCATGAGACTAGGGCCCTGCAGGATTGAACTTCCTTCCGCAGGGCCTGTAAGACAGAGCTATTCCGCCTGGCCTTTCATTTGAATTCAGCCTGATCTTTTATTTCCCTCCCCTCCCCCCCCTTTTATGAAGATCACCCACTCTGAGACCCCACAGCTAATTCTCCCCTGGCCTCCTCACTGGACCAGTAGGACCAGTTCAGCCAGCTAGCCCTGGGGATTATCTAATGCTTATTAGATGGATTTCCCCTAAATTGATTTCTGAACTTTGAATTTTATTTTTATTCATGTTTTTATACTGTATTTTATGCTGCTTTTACAATTAAGTGTTTTAAATTTGTTGTTAGCCGCCCTGAGCCCAGTTTTTGAACCGGGAAGGGTGGGTTGTTGTTGTTATTATTATTATTATTATTATTATTATTATTATTATTATTAATCTCTCTCCCCCATCACGTGGGGATCTCTGCAGTCCAAATGACAATTTGTGCTTGCCACATATGAAGGGGTTAAGACCCACAAAGTTGCAGAATTCCTAGACAGGACAATTTTTGAGGTCATATCCCCTACATACTGTGGTGAGAAAAGGAGTAAAAAGATCTTAATATGGCCTCCTTCCTGCTTGGCTCAGTCTCTTTCTTCTTGCCAAACCTTTGATGGAGCAGGATGTCTGTCCATTCTCCTCTGAGAGAAGATTCCATCTGGATTTTTAGAATGCAACTTAAAAAGTAGATTTGCCTGCCTTGTATTTGTTGCTGTTACTGCTGAAATCAAGGACAAGGCTATCTAAAGCACGTAAACATTGTTTTACACTTACCATACAGTTTATTGCCTGACTCTTTATTGAGAAGGAAGGGAAATTCCAGCCTGCTATCACAGTCTGGACAAAACAAAATTAAACTAATTTAACCTTAGTCTCTAGTTTCTGTTTTACATGTCGCAAGGGATGGTGACTTTTTAACTCTGCTAACCCAGCGTTTTAAATCCTACGTGCACGCGAGACAGGAAGGAGAACTGCCGTTAATAAGCCTTTCCTACCTGACGAAATCCACCTGACACATCGCACCCACCTGGAGGTACTGGGGCAAGAGCCACGTGCGATCCCCGCCGGCCACTTCGTAGTGCTGGAACTGCCTGGCAAGGTCCACCGTGGCCACCCCAAAGTGGGAAGCCTCACCGATGGCTCTGCAGACTTCCAGGGCGGCGGCAGCATCTGCAGGGCTGTAAGAGAGGCGCTCCAGGGACTGAAGAAGGTGGCCTGCCTCGCAGTCTTCTTCCTGGACACCAAGGAGTCTGGTGAAGGCGATGGGGAGGCAGGAGGCTCCGACGGGGAGGTTCTCCAGATCTGGCGGACCTACAAGCACAAAATGGGGCGGGTCAGGACAGAGGGAGCCCGGCAGGCCACCCTAGCTAGCCGCTCTGCCACATATGTGGGGGTCAGGTGGGATTGCTATGAGGAATGATGAAAAATGCAACACACCACTGTGTCAGCGATGAAAGCCTTGCTTTGACTGGGCTTGCGTCATTTGGCATGATTTCTGATCGAATCCCACAAGCCTCTGCACCTCTGCCCCATTTTCTTTCTCTACACCTGACAGGCACATATAAGCATTCTAAAACAGACTGGTTGCTTCACCAGGCACCCTCAGTACATAAAGATAGAAGGTAGCTTTGATGTAGCTTTTGTTAGTTTTGTTAATCTTTAGATAGATCTTAAGGGCCAGGAACAGAGTTCACAAAGAAATGGTAAATACTCTTTCCTTGCCTGTCCTTCCTTTCCTGCCTGACCTCCGGGGTTGGCTAAATGCATTCCTCCTTGATTCCTGTTTTATTTACTCTGAAACATGTATGCATGCTCAAAGTAGTCTTTGTACTTAAAAGGATTTCTCTGATCTAACTTTGTCCCACGTGGGGATGTTTTGGAAATGCTCAGAGGAAATCTGATTGGTTTTTACAAACGCTGTGTTAAGAGTTTTTTTGTTAATAAAAGGGACCTGGGCCAGGGTGTAGCAGATTATTATGTGCACTTCCTCCCAGAGTCTTGCTGTGTATTTTATTAATCAGGGTCCAGTCCTTCCTTGCTTTCAGAACGCAACACACATACAGGCAGCCTACTTCCTTCGCTGGCAGACGAAGCCCTCGCCCTGCCAGGGGGAAGGTGAGGAAGAGCTCCTCTGCCTACAGACTGACCTTGAGCCCAGAGGCTGTCCTGGGCAGGGGTCTTCCTCATCTTCACCTTCACTTGGCAGGAATTGACGACGATGTTGTCGGTGGGGCTCAGGTTGCGAGTGCTGACGATGCCGGGGCATAGTAGCCTCTCATGAGGAGGTAGTTTGTGTGCGACGCCTGGTGGGCCTTCACCTCAATCTGCCGCTTGCTGGTCGCGTTCTCCTCCAAGTCCTCATCGTCGTCGTCCTCCTCCTCGTCCTCCTCCAGCCC